TTATTTAAATTATAATGTGAAAACAACTTTATAATTTTAACTCAAGCTTCATAAAGTATTTCAGTATTTTAAATACTTTCTGCCCTACAAGCAGAAGTGTGATCTGATTTTGCACAGGAAGATGAATGAATCACAGGGCTCTGCAAAAGGATAGAAGTAGATTTGTGTGGTTCTCAGCATGCAATGAGGCCATCAGGCTGAACTGTGGCTTTGCTGCAAGCAAGACACTGCTCTGAGAAACAGATGAGAAAACAGATTGCAACTCGCAGGCTGACAATCTGCTTGCTGGTTTTCTTATACTTTAGAAGAGAAATATCTTGGTCCAGGCCTATACACTGTGTAGCTGCGCTAAGTAAGGATAAGCAAAGAATGGAGCCATTCCCTGCCACAGTCTGCCAAGTGTAGAAGGGGAAAAAACCAGCTCCATGCAGGCTGCTCCGCCCTCCCATGCTGTGTTATGGCAGCAGCCAACAAAGAGCAAGAAAGGGCCAACTCATCCTTCCCTACCACTCTGTGCCACTTCACATTAATTCATATTCTATTCCATAGGCCTGTTAAAAATCCAAAGCTCTTTTAACATGCAAAGTATAAAAAGACTAAAAATTAGCATTTAATCGAGAACTATCAATTTTTCTTTGGGTTGTCACATATTAGTAGGACAAAAAGGCATGCACCTGACTGCATGTGGCAAAATGATATAAGGTCTATGAGATATAAACCTCTGAGATGAAAACCTTCAAAGTTATTCTTCCTAAAATAATTTGAAAGAAACAAAGCCTGTCTCTGTCTAGTAATGGAAACCTGGTTAGTCAATAAAAACATGTCACTTATATACAGATAATCAAATTAAGTAAATTAAAAATACCAGTTTTGTTAGAAACACTTTACTCTTTTAATGTTTTAAATCATTTAATTTACATTTAAGGATTTGGAATACACAAGGAATTGAATGATACATTCTGTTAGAGAGACTGTGGATTTCACTCTCAAATTTTCATGTTTACACTGGAATAATATAAAAGCCAATGAAATAATTTTAAAATCCGTGAAAATTCTCTTTGCACTCCATTACACACCTAAAAGACATATATTCTTTCAATATGAAGTATACTAACATATGACAATTCCAGGAAGTGGAATCCCAAAAGAAACAGAGAAAATAAACTTCCCTTACACTTTGGCCTTCTGAACTCTTGACTGTTAGGAGATATCAAAATGTCCTTGATTCATAGTAAAAGAACAGGTCCTTGTGCTGCACTGATGTTTTGGGTTGGAGACTGTAGCCTACACACCAGTGTAACACAGCTTTAGATTTCCTAGTGTATCCCACCTTGAATTTGAATGTTATCTCCCCAGGTCGTGGCTCTTTGTTAAAGTCCCTCAGCCCATGCAGATGCCTTGGAAACTCATGGGCATCTGAAATTCCAAAACCCAGGTTTAAGCAATTAAATTACTCTATGCCAGGCGTTTACTGAGCATTATACTTGCTCTACTATGCTGCAACACCTTATGCTAACTTTTGCATCTGAGGAATTCACCTGCCATATATTTACCCACAATCTTTATATTCCAGAGCAAAGTATGGAGATTGCGGTAGAGGGCCACAAACTGATCCAGAGACTTTCAATGCTCCTCCTGAACTGGAGCAAGTTACATGGTGCACACAGCCAAACATCACTGATTAGTTGTCATTGCTCTATATAATCTATTTGGGCATGAGGCCTTACATAGTATCTCTTACAGATATCTGGGTGCATATGACCTTTTACTTAAGGATGTATCATATTTATGTGCTTTGACCATACTCTGCTTTAAGCATGTTTTAAATCCTCGCGGGAATTCATTCATATATTTATATGTGTGCTTAAATAGCCTTCTGGAACAATGTTGTTTTCCTTAACTGTAGTCATGATTTAATATAATGACCTATAAATTAGAAGTCAGCCCTTTAAAAACTAGGTAATTTAGTCCGCAATTAACATCAATGAATAAGTTCAACTATAAAACAACCATACAAAAGCTTGCCATATTTTTCCCCCCAAGTACCATAAAATACAGTGAAAGGCAGAAGAAAAATGATATAAAAATGTAAACAGAAAATCAGAGCTCAGATAGTTTGCTCCTTGTTTCAGATAATAATCAATGTGCATTTGTCAATTCATGAATATTATATGTCATTCACAAGGTGCATAATTACTGTGAAGCAAATTTCCATCAAAACAAAAGTATCAAGCCATAGAGAGCTCAGCCACATAAACTGAGTTGTCTTCAGCATTTAGAAGAAATTCAAAGGGAATGCGTACTGCTACTTAGACCAGTGTATCAGGCACAGTATTAGTCCATTTGTTTGCTGAAGGACTTTTCCAGCCTAATGGTAGGAACAGCATTGCCAAAAGGAGAAAGAAAAAGTAAAATAGACCTTTCTCACCACAATGGGACAGGTACAGTTCTGGGACACCATTTTAGGAATTGAGCAACAGTTATGATCAATGAACACCAGGAGTTACTGTCAAACACAATGTGCTGTAAAGATTTCATAAGAAGAAGAAAAATACGTCCCTGTATTTTTTTCTATGTTCTTTATTGTAACTTTCAAAAGCAGGTTTTAGTCTAATAAACTGTATGCAAAAAATATTAGTATAGCTCTACTTGTAAGCTACCTCAATTAGTTTTCTATTAAAAAATCCTTCAGATCCTCCAAATCTCAAATTTGAACTTTTACACTTTACAATTACGGCTCTTTACAAGATTTCTGTTTTCAGTAAGTGTTGATTTCCTAAATAGGATCAAGATGTTAGCATGACTCCCTTTCAGTACTTTCTTGTTTTCCATGTGCTCTGTACCAAGATAGATTCTACCTTAATCTTGGGGGTCATTCTGGGCTTAATCCATAATTACTGGCATCAGTCAGATCATGCAACATCTCCAAAAAAAGGTATATTAAAATACCTAGCTTGTATAATTTTTTCTTCAAAACACTTTTTATAATGCATAGTAGTTTCTACTTTGCGCTCTTGGTGAAGTCAATGAAATTTAAGACTCCCTCTGAAACACGTTATGTTCAATAGTGTGTTAGTCTGTGAATGGTTATGCATCAATCGATTACTGAATTCTTTTTAAATGTATTCAAATAACTTCTTTATAAATAGAAATATCTTAGCAGTGGTATGCTAAATTTTTACCTGTAATTCTTGAATTTACATTTACAGAAGCCAGAGACATTCTAGATAGCATTGGTAAGAAATATCATAAATAAAACAGTGCATGTTTTACCTTGCCTTACTTCCTTTTAAGCTAAGTGCACTTCCGGAAAAAAAACAAAAAAACAAAAAAAAACACCCCCCCCCCCCCCCCCCAAAAAAAAAAAAAAAAAAACAAACAAAAAACACTACAGTTGAGTTTACAACCTAAAATACTTAAAAGTGTGAGTAACAAACAATGACTGTCACGACCCATCTGTAAAAGACACGTGGCTAATGTGTTCCATATACACAAAGTAAAACGCTTCTGCTTAATAAAAAACACAAGCAAATACAGTCCCTCTGGATATACAGAACTTATACAAAATGAAAGTAACAGTGCAAGAATATAGCACAGGCATTAGCCCTGAAGAAAGTCACTACACAAATCACACAGCAGAACTGGATTATAAATGGCTAGTCATTGTACTGAAGTGAACTTACAGCTGTACTTACTAAAAAATGGGTACCACAATTTAAGACAACTCACATTTTAAATTCAATGAATTATTTGGCATACTCCTTGCTAATCAGCCTGTTGAAGTACAGCACAAAAAATAATTGAATGGCGTGGTTTGATTTTGGTCAATGGACTAGTAATTCAACAATGGTGCAATAACTAATTGAACTGGGGCATTACAGAACTTTGGTAAACCCGAACTGTGATTGTATACAGTACTAAAACCAGCAAGACTTTATAATAAGAGTTTAGACTGGTATAATTTGGACAGTTGCACTAAATTTCCTCAGATGTGGAACACTGAAACAACGTATTAGTATACCAGACAAGGAGGTACTGGCAATAGAATCGCAAAAATATTTTCATTTAAGCAATTTCCATTTCTCTAGGGCTTTTCTTTACAGAAAAAAAAACAAAAAAACAAAAAAAAACCCGAAACAAACCAACCAAAATCTGTGTTTATTGAAGTTCTAGGTCAACAGTGTTACAGTTCATTTTGTCTTCTTTTGCTATGCCTAGTGTAGTAATGAACACTAGCACTAGACTGTGTGCTGCAGACCTCCTCTTGTTTGAATACTGTCAAATGTCATAAAAGCTTGTGCTAATGCTCTTAAATAAGAGCATGATGAAACTTAACATCAAAGCCATGCTGGGAATTGCCTGAGATATGACTAATGACTAAAGTTAAGTCTTCCATCCAACATGGCCAGTAACCCAGTTTCACTCCACCAAATCCAGGAACCTTGAAAGTAATGCTGCTCTTACCTAACCTGCTCTGTAAGTTTTACACCTCTATGATACCTCATTAAGAAAATAAAAATTCCCTTTCTTTGTGGGTAGGCTCATGTCTTCTGCAAGTGAGGGTAGCAACTACCAGCGAGGGTATGGGGTGAAGCACTGGCTTTTTACACAAAATTCAACAATGCAATGCCTCGTCTATGATTAACGCTTCCATCTATGATTAGAAGTAGCAATTTGAAGATGAAATATCAAAGGAAGGGTAATTAGCACATTGTGCATATTAACCCAGCAATAAAAATACAAGTTCTGCACCGCAGCTAGAAACAGAATGAACGAGTACACTACAGACACATCGAAGGCAAGAAATTCAGTATCACTATATTAATAAAATGACTGCCTGTGACTTTAAACACAGGCACACTTGTACTTGGCGAGACAGTGAATGATTTATTGTTACTATGAAGGATGCAGGAATGAAAATGAAGATGAGAGGGGCGATGATGGTGATAGGGAAGAAGAGGTTAATATCCCCAGCATCTGACGGGGAACGATGTCCCTACCTCAGTAAGCTGGATAAGGGAATAGCTCCAGATCCACTGCCCAGGATCCCTCCTTTCCTCCCAGAGAGGAGTTTCTCCACCAGAGCCACATTCCCAGTGCGAGCAGCTTCCAGCAGCTCCTGGTCCTTTCCCATGGTCAGGAACCAAGCAGCCCCCTCGCACCCCGCCGCGCACCAGGAGAGCTGCACCCCGAGCCACGGCAGCCCCTCTCTCCTCAGAGCGCTCTCCCCTCCCCAGACCCTGCCTCAGAGCAGATTCCTGCAGTCCCTTCCAGACCAGCAGGAGCAGCAGCAGGAGGGAGGAGGAGAATCACCTCCTCCTAGTTTCACTGGATCATTTCTGGGTGGAGTGTGGAAGAGAAGGAGGGGAGGACGAGGCCAATAAAGACACCCCCCCGCCCCACTCCCATGTACGCACGGCCCCGAGCCGGAGAAGATGGGGCGGGGGGGTAGTGGAGAGCCCCAGCCCCCGTGCCCGTGGCAGGCCGGGCTGAGGGTGATAACGACCCTCACGGACGGAGGGACGGAGGGACGGAAGAAGGGAGGGACGGGGGGCGGAGGCGCAGCGCTGACTCGCCAGGCTCGTTGCTGGGGAGACGCGGCTGGCGCCCTCTCAGTGGCTGCCCGGGCTGGATGCCCCCCTCCGCCTGCCCCAGCCCCTCGCCGCTGCCGCCGAGAGCTGCGCGCCTCCGCCCTACAAACCGCCCCTCAGCAACGGCAGTGCCGGGCGCTCCACTGCTGTGCGGCGCCGCCACCGGCGCTGCGGGTGAAGGGAGCGGGCAGGTGCATCCCCCCCTCGGCCGCGGCGGCAGCGTCAACGCTCAGCGGGGCGGCCGCGGCAGCAGGGCCGGCGGCCGCAGGTGCTTCGGGAGAGCGTCTGGGAGCTGGCGCCTCCTTGCGCTGCGGAAGGGGAAGGGAGGGCTCTGCGTGAAGGGGCGAGGGGGGGTGTCTTCCCGCGGCTGCGGTGCCAGGCGCAGCGCTGGGCGCGGCAGGGGGCGAGGCTGTGGGGTGCGGGCAGGCCGGAGGTGCGTGCTGAGGCAAGGTATGGTGGGGTTAAGGTACCGTGGCGGTATGTGTGTATGAGGCCCCGGCACAGGTACGAGCCCGCTCCCTTGGGCGAACCGGTGCAGACGAAAAGCGCGGGCCCCGCCGAGGTCGGAAGCAGCACTGAGGTGCTGGCTCGGTGAATCGGGCAGGCGGGACTGCTCACACCCGTCAGGCCGGGATCCTGGCTTTGTAACGTGTCGAAGGATGGGAGGTATAACCGAATGTGCTTGCTGTCAGATCCAGTCATCCCTTCTGGTACTCCTGGTTCTGTTACGGGTTTCAAAACATGTCACCTTTTGAATTGTATGACTTCAGTCGTTCCTTATGGCTCATGTTCTTACAAGCTATGATGAAAATACTCAGTGCTCTCCAGTTCGCAGGCACATCCTTGTTTAATGCCCCGTTGGATACAGTGTATACTTGAAAAGCAAAATTGCAGCTCCAGGTTCCTGGTTTAGTTTTGTCATTTGTGCAGGCAGAACCATAGGTACAACAGGAAAGTAAGACCCTTACCATTCCCCCGCTGAGATCAGTGGCATTCTTTCATGAACTGTGCTCTCAAAATGTGAAGTGCAGCAATAGCAAAACATCGTGGTAGGCAGGATTTTAATGTTCCCAGAGAGAGTGTTAATTACTCCAGACCTATTGTACATTCAAGTCAATGGAAAGATCCTTGTGGATTTCACAAATGTTTTGGTTTAGCTCCCGTCAGTACCAGTTTTACAGGTGTTTTTTATATTTTTATTAGATAATGAAACAGTTTTAATCTCGTAACAGAAATTCCTTTCAGGGGTCTGATTTTCTTTTACAAAGGAAAAAAAATACCATCATGGGGATTTATTGTTCCAGTATAGTTGTCCACAGCAGCAAAACAGTATCTATTTTTTAGCTAGAAAATGTAATTTACACAGTTTGGCATTTTCAGGATGTGAAATGATGTCTCCTCCAATGTTGTCAACAGGACACGGAATTGAGCACTGGCATAAAATTACTCGGTGGAGAGATTCTCTAACTGTGGCCTTTCTGATTGAAAGAGTGTGTTATAAATAGCAATTCTAAGGTCTGAAACTGTGAACGTGTGTGTTTCATTATGGTTTAAACAAATAAATGTATAATCGCATGAATTAGGATTTACAGTTTAAGTCCTTAGTCACAGCAGAGTCACAGTGGAAAACAGTAATTTAAAGCTGGAATAAAAAGTTATGTATCTTGCTACCACCCACTCAAGCATTAACTAGTTCCAAAGTTAGCCATAAACTAAGAATACCCCTGCTTTTGAAGCTTCTTGATGTCCTCCGTTAAGGTAGCCATAATTTCCCTCTATTTCTGCCTTGCATTTGGTTTTGTATGTGATCACATGCATTGCCTGATAAACTCACATGTATCCTTGGAATGCTCTGCAGGAATGGATTTCTTTAAGTTTGCTGAGAGCCTCTGAAGAGGTGCCAGTATGCTGTGAAGAGCTAATCATAAGGCAGGGGTATGTGCCTAAACTTGCCTGTTGGTGAAAAGTCAGATTAGAAGCAGATACTAAAGAAAACTGGGTTTTTTAAGAATTTGTATTGTTGATGTGGTCGGATTAGCAGATGGCAAATATGACTCAGTCTAAATGTTACATAATTCTTCTTGGGAAAATAAAATCTCAAGACTATGCTCTAATTGAAAAGATCATCCAGCAAGCTGCTGAAGAGCAGTTTGGAGAACCAGGACAGAAATATCAATGCAGCAGATGCATGCAGTAGCCAGCAGATTCAGGAGGATGTTATGAATGTAGCAAGACTCAAAACATACCCCAGTAAACCTGTCAGCCTGGTGCCCAACAAAACTACAAAATCCAAGCAGAGGATGTAGTTTCATTAGCAAAATAGAGCAGAAAGCAGTTATTCTATCAATTTGAAAAGTGAAAAAGAATTTAACAGAACTGTTTAATGAAAGGGTTAAACATGGATGAGTTCTAAGGGCTACTGGCATGAAGAATTCAGAACATATTTTGGTCTGTTTCCAGAGATGAAATTGATGGTGGACTGTAGTAAAGAAAAAAATTGAGACTGAGTTGAATGTAGATGGTCAAATCTATGAGATCAGGTGGACTCCTTTGTGGTTTTAAATGATTTCCATTTCTTTGTTCTGGTAATAGTGGGACAACACTGTGTAGCGTTGAAAATTGTATGTATGATAAATATGTTAACTAGACCTAGAAAGTAGAAACATAGCTTTATAATTTGCAGCAGCTACAGATGAGAAAAATAATTTGTCAAACAGCCATGAGGTCTTTCAAAACATTGTATGCTTTTTGAGCAGTGCTGTTACGTACTACAACAGAATTTTGAATCTATGATTTTAGTATTTGCGGAGACATTTTAAGTTATGACCACTGCAGCTGTCAGTGTCTAAGTGGCATCACACCTTCAATCTGAAAATTTCTCTTAACACAACATATGCCCTACCTTCTGTTTTCTTCCATTTTCTAAATACCAGAGAGAGAGCAGTTAGCCTACCTAGAAATTCTTCAGCTGGTTTGTCATTTGAAAGGCCTGGGATTGACTATAATAAGCAGTGACTTTCCTTTATGTTTTTACAGTGCAACTATCACTTGGCTTTGTTCTCTTTTCAGGGTAACAACTTCTTAATTTTTTCCTCCTGTACCCTCGCACACTTAAAGGCAAATTAAATGTGTGCTTTCTAACATTTTATGACTTTCCCTTCTCTATTTTCAAGCAGGAAGCATGGAAGGGATATGGAAACCTGAGTTGCTAGTATTGAAAAAAAATAAAATCTGTGATATCAAAAATAGTTGTGTAGAATAGCAAACATATTAACATCATGTTTCAGGACTGTCTGTTATCAGTTCTCTCATTTAGACTTAAGGAATGTCTAAGATCCCTATTAAAAATCCTGAGAGATATTCTGAGAGCGAGCTCAAAATGTTTGGCATTAGAAAATAAATTAGCCTAATTATTATTCTCATGTTTATACACCCATGGGAAGTCAGGGACAAAGGTTGCAAAGTGCCCAAGAGAAAGTGCTGTTTCTCATGCACCTAGGTGGCAAGAGTACTTCAGGCCTGATACTGTCTTTTGCTCTTTACAGTAGTGTAAAAGAGTACACAATGAATTTCAACCAACCCTGACTAGCTTTGTGTTTGCACTGCTTCTCTAGGAGATACCTTAACATCAGGCTCAGAGGCTAAGTCCAAAGGAGCATGTTTGAGCTCTTGAGGCCATGTGTGAATGCACATCATGTTCCAGTTCCCTATTGGGTTGAAACGCAGATTCACATCAGCCTCTGTCTGAAGGCCTTCCTCAGTGATAGGCTCAGAAGGTAGACAGACACCATGGACAGGTACTCAGATAACTAGGACATACCATAATACTCACATGCTCTCACCACTGAAATATGAAATAGGTCCTACATCCTCCTCCACTGTGAAAGAAAATTACAAAAATTGACAGTACTAGGCCTAACTCATTAGGAATATAAAAAGACCAAGAGTGCTATGGTCTCAAAAGAATGCATGAATGCTTGGACTCACCAGATTTAAGTAGAAGCTGAAGTAATAGGTAAGGAAAAAGCCGTTTTTGATGACTTATCCACAACAAGCCTATCTCTGACTATACAATTCTGATTAGATCATGTTTTCTGTAAACCCTTGCTTTCAGGCATGTTGTCATAGTGTAAATTTGTAATGGAAAAGAACGTGCAAGGAAATGGTCCTTTAGTGATGTTGCACAGCAGCAAGATACTGTCTCAGCATTTGCACTGATTGACCCCACTACATCATTGTCATGGGGCTGTGAACACAGTGAAGAAGAGCAAGAAATTAAACTATTATTCTGTCACCCAGACCCTGACTTACAGAGCTATCCAAACGTAACATGGGAAGCGTGTTGCATTCCCCAGAGGGCTGTAATGCCCCACTGCCCCAAAGTCTCAAATATATAGAGGCTGCAGGTTTTGTCTGCACTGGAGAGCTGAGCCTCCAGAAATCAGTGATGGGGTAGTACTGATAGCAAGTCAAATCTGTCTGCCGTGCCATTTCCGATGCAATTGCAGTCTTGCTCTGATGGCAGATGCTAAGGTTAACTGGTATATCTGCACATTTTTTTACATGTATTACTTGTGTGACAGCAGGTGGGATTAGCAGTATAATTATTCATTCAGTCCTTCTGCTCTGTCATAGGTTTACATCAGTTTGCTATCAAAATATGCCTAAGACTGTTTTTCATGCATTAGAGAGAACCGCAGAATTGAATGTGAATACAAGTTGGTAAGAACGGCATGCTGATTAGATTCCCCAATCCAG